AAACATTGATTCTTTAATTAACATAAAATAGGAGATTTAAGATATGTTTTTTTGAAGCTCGACTAATTCAAACTCACATGCGTCAAATAATATCATTTTAAGAGGTAAATATAAGTTGCTCAAACTTTAACGATATTACTAAACACGATTTATTTCTAAAGTTTAAACCTGAATATTTTTTAAAAAAAATGTATTTATCACTCTACGATCTTAAATGATAAATAGTAGAGTAGGAGATATCACGAGATAATTACAAACATTATGTATGAGTATTTCCTAAGTTAAGTAACAAACAAGAGTACAACACTACAAAACATATATAATTATTATACTTACTACCTATATAATTTATTTTCTCTGGTTATCTGCAAAATAAAATATAAAAAATTAACTCAAAATACTAAATAAATATGAGACTTTTTTTTTTTTTTTTTGCATAATACATATTGACTAAGAGGATTCAGTTGAACTCACACAATATATATATATATATATATATATAAAAGATTTTTGAAGTCTGAGATTATATAATTCACGGGTTAATTTTTGAGATTCATTATGTTTTACCTACGTGATCAAGTATTTACGATCACTGAAACCTAAACCTAGCTAGCTTTTTCTTAAGCACGTGCATCTTCAAACGACTTTTAATAGAGATAGTAAACCAACTGCACTATTTTATCACTCCGTTATTTATCTACGTGTCACGTCATAATTAAATTAAATATTTCCTCATATACATGTTAAATTCAGATGATTTTTTTCACAAAATATCTCATACCTAACGTAACTTCTCAATCTTTTCAACTATTTCAATAGACATCATAACATATACGTATATTATATCATCATTTATATATAAGCTAATCTGATTTTATTAAATTACCTAAGTTATATTTTACTTCTAATTTATTTTATTTTATTGTAGTCAAAAACTTTGAAGATAAACCATTGACTTTTTCATGTGCTGTTTCATGCACACGATATCCGTTGATTTTGCTTAAAATTGTGGGTTGAAATCAATATATATTAATGAAATGATTGTATAAAATTTGACTTTACACCTTACCCTATTCACACCCTTTAAAAAGATTATTTCATGTGAGGCTAAATATATGGTTCGAAATTGAATTCTTAGAGTAACAATAAAGTCTTTTTCATGTTATCTATATAGTACGAGTTTGAGGATAGATTATCTATATTATAGTTTTTGGGGATATAGCCTTTTCACGAATTCTACATTAAATTAATACAAGATACTTTGTATACTAAACAGTTTTTTGTTTTTAAAAAAAATATATGGTTACTTGCTATAATTTGCAATAAAATTTGTCCTTAAAAGGTGGGCAGTTTGTTTTTTTTTTCTTTAATAATTTGTTTGACTAAGTTTTTGAAAAGTGAAAAGTTTTTTTAAAAATGCCAATTTTAGGAAGTTTAAGTGTTTGGTCAGCTTCCAAAAAAAAGACATGAGTATTTTTTGAAAGTTGAAAAATGTATTATTATTATTGCTCTAATATTTACAAAAACTAGTTTTTAAATAAAAAATCAAACACACACGGCTAGCTACCAAAACTTATTTGTAACAAATTACTAAGATTATATTTATATATATATATATATATATATATATAAAGTTTTGAGCACCTTTAACAAAATTCCTAGGTTCGTTACTATCGCAAACCATATCATCCACCTTTAGTTATCCGTTGATATCACCAATTGCACCACCATCAACCACTATTGTTAATGACTCCAATCACTATCACCACTATTTACAACGTATAATTTATAATTATCACCATCAGTCAACACTAGCACTAGTCTACCATTCCTCGTCCGATAATCGCAACCATTACACATCTCTACCACCAATTACCATATAATTTTTCAAAAAATATATTTTATCAATACAATATTAGATTAATTAATATATTATATGAATTACCTACTAATATATAAAAATATATTATTAATTAAATATGAACTCGTGTGCATGTCACTATCCATGCTTCTGCATTGGGTTCTGCTGGAATCTTAGGCCAAACACATCAACAAAATTATTATTTTATTATACCAAAATTGATATGCATTTCATAGTTTAATATTTTTATGCTAATCTTTTATCATGAAAAATATCAAATGAACAGCTGGCCATTACCATATGCTTCCATTAGAAAAATGCACTTTTTTTGTAAATTAGTGATATTAATATACTCTCTTTGCCTTTGAACATTTTGGCTATATAAAAGACAAAATTGTTGAACCTTTGGAACTTACCAGTATGTTTTATTTAGACACTCAAATTATAATATATTTCAATTAAATACTTTGAACACAAAATACATATCAACTCAAAATAAGCTCGATCGTCTAAGGTTTTACGATTTATTTACACTAATATGTAAAATTAAAGGAGGTGTTTAAAAATGATGATCACATAACGGACACTTGAAATTATGAAAATAATTTTTTCAAAGTTTGAATCAGATATTTAAGAGGTTGTCAATATATTTCGCATTTTGCAAATTATTCATAATTGATGGCTCTTCTTTTTCTATCCCGTCCTCTTTAACATACACGTGGTTAAGTCTCCAGTATTCTTTTATTTTTAACCAAAATTTTCGAATTTGGATGTACTCAACATAGTAAAAATAATGATCCTATATGTACCAACTTGTTATCTTTTTAATCCTTCCCCTATTTTTCCTATCCTTTTTTTAAAAAAGGATCTTTTTTCCTTTTATTTAGTATATATATTATAGTAATTTTATTTTTTTAATAGTTGATGAAAATATTGGACATTGAAAAGAACACAAACAAGATAAAAACAAAGGTGTATGCCAGAAAACAAATTCTGTTTAGAAAATGACAAATGTAACACTATGGAAAAAAGTGGACCTCAAAATTAGAATTTTATCACAAAATCTTGACTAAATACCAAATTTTCTTTTTCTTTTTACTACACTCCATTCTTCACCCACTCACCTTACATATTTTTTACATTTTTTGGTTTGGGAGGGGGGGGGGGGGGGGGG